TGAACCCCTGTTGTTTCAGTCTGTTGGTTGCCTTTTTTTTCCCTTTTTTTCTTTTACCTCATTAGATATCAATTCATTAATTTAGGGGCAATAAATGGAAAATAACTCTGAGGAGGGAGACCAAAAGAAAGCACTGCTTAATAAGGGACAGACATTTAAAAAAAGATGCCTTTTTTTACTGGAGCACAATGGTGAATTATCATCTTGGCCCTTGGGGCAAATTTTGAGGTCGGATAATTTTAAATTCAGCTGATAAAAGAAAGGAGATCAAATGTGGGAGAAATAACAAAAATAAGGGATCAGAGAAAATAGAGATAGAAACTTGATGACCTGCTTTCTAAATGGTTTGCATACAAGAAAATTACAAAAAATAACTAAACCTACTTTACCTTACAAAATATTGTGATTTTTGAGGTCGGATAACTTTAAATTCAGCTACAGTGGGGGAAATAAGTATTTGACCCCTTGCTGATTTTGCAGGTTTGAAAAAAAAATAAGGCAGAAAATAGAAAATAGAGGTAGAAACTTGCTGACCTGCTTTCTAAATGGTTTGCATAATGTCCGAACCAGCGACTAAAAAGGCTCCTCTGACATTTCCCCACTCACCGTCGGGATGCTCGTAGGGCAGCCAGTGGTGTTTGGCATTCTGGAAGTCGAAGTGGGAGTTGCGTAGCTGGCATTGCTGTGCGCGGAAATCCTCGAAGTGCTTTGGGCACTCGTCCGCGTTGCAGAGCTGGAACTCGTAGTTGACCCCGGGACAGTCCTGGCCCCCGTTAGACGGCCTGTGGGAAGGAGAAAAAAAGCTGTTTTCCAGAACAATAAAGCCCCCACTATAAAGGATTCTGACCGTTTCTCAGTCCGTGCTGTTTCCTTTTTGCCTGACAATGCCCAATATAATATGTATATAACATCACATAAGATTAAATTCAATTTCAATTTCAATTTTATTTATATACAGGACTGTCTCAGCTGAAGAAACCCAAATATCCTATCTCAAAATATTAGAATATCGGACTTTTTAGTTTTCTTCAGCTGTACGCCATATTCAGCGATATTAAAACAATAAAAGGCTTGCGATATTTCAGTTGATTTGTAATGAATCCAGAATGTATGACATTTCATGATTTTTAATTGCATTACAGAAAAAGAACTTTATCACAATATTCTAATTTTCTGAGACAGTCCTGTATATATAACGTCACATAAGATTCAATTCAATTTCAATTTCAATGTTATTTATATAGAAGATGATTTATGAAGATGAGGATTCAGATCTGTTTCTTCTAATATAAAGTAAATTAGCAGTAAATGAGGCAAAGATTCATGAACCTCAACCCCTGCTATCCAACATTTAGTAATAATAATAGTAATAATAATAATAATAATAGTAATAAAGGATTCTGACCATTTCTCTGTCCGTGCTGTTTCCTTTTGCCTGACAATGCCCGATATAATATATATAACATCATATAAGATAAGGAGTCAGATCTGTTTCTTCTAATATAAAGTAAATTAGCAATAAACCTCAATCCTGCTATCCAACATTTGCTAAAAAAATAAAATAAATACTGTTACTGATGTACTGTAGCCTTATAAAGGCAGGATTGAGTGAATGACATGACAAACAATAGACAAATAATAGACAAAGACGTGTGATAACATCCCTGTATATCTATCTATCTATCTATCTATCTATCTATCTATCTATCTATCTATCCACCCACCCATCCATCCATCCATCCATCAATCATCCATCCATCAATCATCCATCCATCCATCCACCCATCCATCAGACTAAAAAATTCCAATATTCTTCGTATTTTTCTTGGATCATGTTTAAAAGGGTTCGGAAGTTTTTCCTTCCCTGTGTCGCCTAGTGCTTTCTCTGTTGTTCTTCTGTAAATAACCTCAGAGTCCGGTCTCTGACCTGCTCTGTTCGGAAACCTGGGAGATAACTGTTGTTGGGATGTGGCGCTATAGAAATAAAATTGAATTGAATTGAATTATTGTTTGTTCTCCCGGCACATCCAGTGAACTTGTGAATTGTACCCACCACCCATTCACCAGTTAACTCATTGGCTGCCAAAGACGTCTATAGAGGTCTTTTATGTTTTTCAGCGAGAGTGTCTGGGGGACGATCTGCTAAAGCTTGTCCGTAAATATCGGCTTCTAGACAGAGTATGTAGTAACAAATTGACCCTCTAGGGGGCAGTGCCACTTTTGATGGGAGATGAGCATAGACTGTAGGCAAATAAGAAAAAGCTAACGGTTCTATGAGAGAACATGTCGCCGGTGAGACGCAAGTCCAGGAAGAACGGAATAAGCTAGAAACACATTTTTTTTCCTGATGAAAGAAGAGAGTCTACTCTTTCTTTTGGTGTGTTCGGTGTTTACATAGTCATAGCACAAACTATTCTGTGGCTCTTGAAAAATCAGTCAGTTAAAAACAGCCTTTCAGTCAGCCAAAGCTAAAATCAAAGCGCTGTACAGGCCATTTGAGTAGATCATAAAACACAATTATCACCACAACACAAGACAAACTCAAAGATAAAAAAACAAAACAAAAAAAAAACAGTAAGAGCAAAAAAAATAAAAATAAGTAAAAACAAAACCAAGTTAGAGAGGGAAATTAAGACAACTAAGATAAAGTCGAAGTCTCACTCAAAGGCCTGAGAGAAAAAGTGGGTCTTTAAAAGGGTTTTAAAAAAGCTGAGTGTCTGATAGAAAGGGGGAGGGCCTCACACAGTTTCTCCGGGGAGTTTTGGGTACGTACGCTGGGTTGTTGCACTGCCGGGTCCGGAAGCGGACTCCGGTTCCACAGGAGCGGGAGCAGGATCCGTATTTGCTCCAGGAGCCCCAGGCGCCATCTTGTTTGACTTGATTTGGGTTTTTCCACATGCAGTGACCTTTGTAGCACCACTACAGGAGAGGAGAGGAGAGAGAAAAATATATATATGTTAGAATTGGGCTATAATTAACTCACTTTAGCATAGAATGCTATAACTTAATCCATGTAAATGACTGATTGTCTTATTCCTTTTTAGATTCATACAGGACTGTCTCAGAAAATTAGAATATTGTGATAAAGTTCTTTATTTTCTGTAATGCAATTAAAAACATGAAATGTCATACGTTCTGGATTCGTTACAAATCAACTGAAATATCGCAAGCCTTTTATTGTTTTAATATCGCTGATTATGAATTACAGCTTAAGAAACCCAAATATCCTATCTCAAAATATTAGAATATTGGATTTTTGAGTTTTCTTCAGCTGTACGCCATAATCAGCGATATTAAAACAATAAAAGGATTGCGATATTTCAGTTGAAATAGAACCGGGCTCTAGTTCCCCCGTTAGCATCCTATGCTAGCACATAACCATGTAAATGACTGGTGGTCTTATTCCTTTTAGAGCTAAACTCTGGTGCTAAACTCTCTGGCTGTAACCACAGATTCTCCTTCAAGCTCCACACACACACTTTCTCATCACATTCCACCTAAACCTGCCTGAATTAGGACCTGGCCTGTTTCTGTCAGAGCTAACTGGCTAATAACACTCGTCCTCCTGTTGGAGGCCCAGAGGAAAACTGTCCCTCACACCCAGAAATGGAGGCTCTTTGCTAACTGAGATCCTCCGGGAGCTTTGT